CAAACATCTCATACAAGATTGGGATGATGGACAGTGGCGACGAGGTTGACACGAGCGGAATGTGACAATGACGGTAGGGTTTTCGCCAGATAGTATTATTTGGAAGGTTCTCTCAAATTTTAAACCCTTGCACTTTTTTGTTTTTATATTTTCAACTCAAAAGACGATAATTTATACAAAATCATTATTTAAACAAATGATTCACTAACGATTTTGAAGAAATCGTCTAATGTCTATTGGAAAATCCAAAACGCATACCCCATTTGCATACCATCTTTTTTTTTTTTTAGACAACAGTTTGTAAATGTCTTCTATTTGGAGTCGCTAAAACCACTATATGTAGTAGTTAAGGATGAAAACAAACCTTTATTTAATGTGAATCTACTATGATTTTAGCAATGCCACACAAGCAAAAAATATATAAAATTCCTTGTTTATCTAATTGAAAATCTAAAACTAAAAAGAAGATGAAGGTATATTAATTGTTTCTTTTTTAAGAGCTACTTATGTGTGGTGTCTTAAGAAATTTAACCTGTTGACCAGCAAATCAAATTTAACCAGTCAAATGGGACTTTAAATTTTTTTACAAATACGAGCTTACTTCAATTATTTAGATAATAAGAAGGATAAACACGGTATTTCGACTAAACAAGTGAATTTTTTGATTTTTTTTCCCATAAACAGAGATAACTAATCAAGCGTCAAAGGCAGGCATGTATTGCCTTATCAAATCCACCATCAGCCTAACAAATAAATCTCAAATTTTGTAATGTTAAAATACTAGGTGTTGCGTGGGAAAATGTGACGGACACCTGGACGAACGATAATGCGACACGTGGCCTTAACCATTCCCCGCTAAGCAACAACCCTCGACGTCTACAGCTCTAAAGAGCCCAAGCACGAGGTCCAACTTAGGGCGACGATTCCTTCTGGCGTCGACAGATCGTGCCGTCGAGCTTAAGGCACAAAGATCTCTTGACCGCAGAATCGACCACCAAGAAGGACGAGTGGGCTAAGCGTCGCTGGCGACGAGGGGAACGTTCTCTGGAGGACGTGGCAAGTTACGTACAAAAGTGGGGGACGTCTGCAGGCATTAATTGCGAGCTCTTAAACCACCCCACAGGGGACAGGAGAGTGTTACAGGGACGCACAGAGCCGTAATAGAAGACTAATTGGCTGAGTGAACAGTGCTGATTAGTGGGCTACGTCTGGGACTAAAAAGGGAGAGCACTTGAGTGCTTCTGCCTACGAGGGAAACCCACCCAGCGAAGGAAGCCCAGTATAAAAGAAGGGAGACCCCCTACGAGGAAGGGGTGAAGATCCAAGAAGAGAAAAAAGAGAGTGAGAGATAGCAATTGATGTAAATTGTAATCCCCTCAAAAAGAAATATACAACCACAGTGGATGTAGCTCTAGATTTACAGAGTGAACCACTATAAAACTTCTTGTCTTCTTTACTTATGCACATCTAAAACTATACACACCATACACCCCGAACAATGAATTTTCACATATATTCAACATATAGGCCGGTAATCCAAAGGGAAACTAAGAGGTAACCCGGCCGGTTTTTTGTTGACGAGAAATCGCCGTCAACAATTGGCGACTCCGCTGGGGACCAAAAGCGTTCGACCCGCAACAACATAGTTAGCAAGCACGCCTCTAAGAGAGACGGATGAAACCGCCGTCCATCCAGGGAATAACGGGATGGAAGGAGATCTACGCTCGGTTGCAGACGAAGTCCCACCCCCAGACGCGCCACGACCGGATCCTGTACAGATGCAGGCCCAACTGACCACTCTAACTGAGCTGGTACGTGGGCTGATGACCGTGGTTGAGCGCTTAGATGGGAGGAACTCTATGCCGCCGTTAGAAGACGCCCCGAGGCCGCAGGGACCTGCTATGGCTGGAAACCCGAACCTCGGTGACCACCCACATATCCAAGAGGGAACCGGGGACAGCGAGAATCACCGGGGCCCTCCTAGGCCTCGGCCTTCCCAATCCTCTGGCAGCCGTTTAGGGGCCGCCGGACTCTAAGCTCCCGAGGACCGGGTACCAAGAGGTCCGGGAAATCCCGAGGTATTACCCCATAATCCAGGAGGAAACCCGCCAGGAGACTTGGGATCAGTACAGGCGGGCGGCCAGGCCAGGGGCGGACCCAACGTTCAGAGGGTAGAGGCGTCGAGAGTAGCTGGCCCAGCCATTTCAACAGAAGAAGCACGCGCCATCATGGAAAGTATGGCCAGCCTG